TTCACTTCTACACGTCTCTTTTGAGCCATGTGCTGGTCAGGAATTCCGGATAAGATCTGTGGATTATTTGATGCCCATTTCCTGTGTTCCATTCTGGCCGATTTTAGTGTAGCGATATGTTGATTTCGTATTTTCAATGCTCCATGAATAGTATTGTGACCAGTTTAGACGTCGTCGACACATACTTCATTTAATAAGACTGGAATTGCTAATGGTTAACGATGTTGTTCGTCATGAACAAGTCATGAGCGAGTTGACGAAGTACGCGTATGGCTGTATACGATGCTGATGCAGTACCAAAGGTGACAGTATTTAGGCTGTACTCGGCTATTTCGTTTCAATCATTCCTCCATAAGATACGTTTAAATTGAGCATCATCCTGGTGCATGTCAATAAAGCATGTCAATTGTTGGATATCTGCTGCAAACACGTATCGATGTAGCCTCCACTTCATGATGACTCTTCTTAAATCATTTTGTAGCGGTGGGCCGATGCACAATATGTCGTTAAGGGATTTTCCGTTCGAAGTGGTGCATGATGCATCGTACACCACCCGAACTTTGGTCGTTGTACTGTCCTCCTTTACCACAGTGTGGTGTGGGAGAGTACATGATGAGAAATACTGTTGATCACTCTTGGAGTGATCATTTGATGTCGAGCTTCTGCAGTGGTGACTTCGGAAAGTTGCTTAAGGTCAAAATATTCCTTGATGGTGGAGTGATATTGTTTTTTAAGTGTGTCGTTTCTGTTTAGCCGACGTTCTAAGAGGTGGAATCTATTGAGTGCAATTTGGTGAGACTCTCCGATGACTTGTTCCTTGTAAAATTCAGTTTTTAACGGAAGCCGGACCAGGTATTTTCCATTGGGTTGTCGGGTGCAGGTACGCTGGAAATGATCCTCGCACCATTGTTCTTCTGCTGATAGGGTCCTCTCAGAGCTGATTTGATCGAGATCAAAGAAATCCTTTACCAGTGCATCCAGATTAGTCTGATGGCAACGAATGGTTACCACATTTGCCCTTGTTTTATTGCTATGGCCAAACACGATCCAACCCAATTGAGTGAGCTGAGCAATAGGTTGATTTGAAGCTCCTTTCCGTAAGTCTGGCAGTAACAAATATGGTATTAGATCTACTCCAAATAACGCGTCAATGCGGCCTGGCCTGGTAAAGGTGGGATCGGCCAAGTGTAATCCCTGAAGATGCTGACAAGTGTTTACGTTGCCATTGCTTCTTGGTAAATGAGAGGTTATCGAGTTGAGGTCCATACAAGAGCTTATGGAGAACTCTGTACTCAATCTACAGATGTTCTTTTAGTTATCACCGATCCCGGTGATCCCTGCTGTGACTCGGTGACGTGGAAGTCCCAGTAACTGAGAGGCACGTTCTGTGATAAGCGTGTCCCCAGAGTCATGATCGATCAAGGCTCAAATAACTGCAGTTTGTCCGGTGCTGTTATTATGTAGCTGTACTAGAGCTGTGGCCAGCAAAATGGATCGAGTTGACTGCGCGGCAGAGGCCATCAGCACTGTGGTGGAATCGGAAAGTTGAGTAGGATCGGAGCGCTCCATTGCTGCAATCTGAGTAATCGGTGATGTGCTGGTATACGTCATGAGGAAGTGAAGCAGGGCTTTCCCTTGAGTAAACGTGGGTTATCATAGCGTTTGATGATAAAATCTCATGCGATAGTATAGGCGCCATCCGTTAGTTCCATTTGGTGTACATCTTGGTCCTGCTCTTTAGGCAGTGCTTGCTTGAGAAAATGGAATCGCTGAATATTCGACAATGCCCGACAATGGTGTGTGGGTTAGCCAGCGCTTACAAACTCCTGATGGTTCTTGGCGTTGCTACTCTTCACTCTCCACTGGAAGTGCTCGCTGGCTTGGCTTGCTCATTTTCGTATGCACTCACACTTATGTACATTTAGGTATTCCAATGTGAGAGAGCGACAATGGGCTAGCGTTTGCGCGACACGTGCGATGCAAAGTTTGATTCCGTTATTTTTGCTTCCTCTTTGTCGAAGAGAATGAAGGAGTTGAAAAGGAGAATAGTGGTTCCGTGTTCAGATAATGTTTCCATTAACGAATTCGATGGAAATGTCGTAGATGACCATGGATTGTGGAGTTGTGTGTGGATTGTTCCCCTCATGGGCCACCAAAAATGTTGTGACAAATGCCGTTCATGGGCGGAATGTCATAGTTGAGCGCAGTTATGCGCGGGGTTTTTGAATCCAAACGACTAGCCAGAGTTATGCATTGAACTTCATTTATTTATTTTTTTGCTAACTTTATGTTGGTTAGGTTACAATTATTTTGAATGGGTCAGCCTTAATCCCTCGTGGTTTATCTCTGACCATCTCCACCACTCTGATGGCCTTGCTTACTGACCCTTGACGCCCTTACAGGCCATGTATCCAAGATGATTGCTATTGTCGAATTTTTTAAAACGGCAATTGTCACCAATATTTCTGTGGAAATTATTCAAGATTTTAAAGATGCTGGTAAGAAATTTTGTTATCGTTTGGTGACAAAATGGAAAAGTTGCAGGCATAATGTAAAAGTATTTCAAAACAGGCGTTCTGATTGGCTAAACACACAAACGTGTGTATCAGTACACAAACGTGTGTATGTTGTATTTCAAGGAGGAGACACAACTTTATTCATACAGGCAGCAAGGATGCCCGCTCGAAAACAGGGTAAACACAACCTTGCATTTGTGTTAAATATGCAGTCGTTATGCCCGGAAAAAGCCAAATTTATTCGTGAAGCTGTTTCGACTCCGCTTTTGAAGCTAACACCAATTGAGCCCAATTTAGCCTTAGCCTTGCTTCTTGATAAAAACCTTAGCAAAGAGCAGTATTGTGCAATAAGGAAGCAATCAAACAGAATAAAAATCCAAAAAGGATACAAATAATCCAAAAGAATAAATATTACTTTTGTAAAGTACCAAAAAAAAGATTCATTGAAATTACCAATTATATTAAAAGCCTTCGTGTTCAAAATAACCTCAAACTCAAAAAAAAACTTCACTTCCTATGGTTTATACAAATCAAATAAAAAAAATTAAATCTTAAAATCTTGTTTTATTCGTGAGTCGGCTAGACCATAGTGCGTTGCTCCCGTTCAGTGCCAAGCCGGGTTTTTCCTTTTTTAAATCCTTGAATCCCAGCCTCCGAATTATGTGGCGCTCTGTTAAGGGTGCTGTTAGAGGTGTGCTAATCCGGCATTTTTTTTTAACTATGTAAGGCTTGCCTTACTCTGACCTCTTACTGAGCATGAATTAAAATGGCTAGACTTTCCCGGATTTGCCAGGGAAAGTAACTGAAAAGATTGTATATATGTAGGATTGGCAGTCCTATTTTATAATCGATAAGTTGTTATGTTCTATCACACTTTTCTTTAGTGTTAAAAAGCGTGAAAAATGAGAAGAAGTAGAGATTGAGCATCACCAGAGGAAGGTCACGTGTATCTCTAGTATATCAAAATGTTAAACTAGGCAAAATGTAAACTAACTAAGTAAACCAAACTGTATCAAAAACTATATTCAAGTTTTGCAAAGTATTGTGAAATTCGGCAACTACGAAGTTTGTGAGTGTGAGAGCAAAATTGGTTCTGTGGCGACAAGTAAATTCCTAACGGAAGACGACGAAAGGCGTTTATACGATCCGTTGTTACTGAGAACGACAATAATGGCTAAAGCGACAACTTGATCAGGAGAAGAACTTGGAAACGTAAAATCTGGAGGAGATTACGACCGAGCAGAGATCCAAAGAGGAGTATTAAGACGAGGCGGCAAAGTGACGTCACTGAAGTTGAAGGCGATATTGAAGGCGCGAGTGAAGACGACGTTGATAAGCAGTTCAAAAAACAGTCCGAGAAGCAGTCATCAGAAAGGACAACGGTGGCAGCTTTTAGTTCAACGAGACGAATTTGAAAAGCAGTGGCTTCAGAGATATCAGAGATGAGCAACAAAAGACGGTTCGCAAGTATAAATCCATACAAGCATTATTTAATTGGTACCACGAAGTTGAGGTTAAACAAAACAATTTATTGTAACGTAAACAATTTTTTATTCCCATTTAAATTGTTCATTTGTATTAATCTAAGAGAAAAGTATTATAAAATAAGTTATGTAAGTGTAGAAGATATGAATGTTGAAAGGGAGCTGCAAAATTATTCTTGGGTAGCCAACCAGGAATAAATGATTGGGATGCATTAAAAGAAGCTCTAATAAATGAATTTGGAGAGAAGCTTACAGCAAAGCAGGTGCATAAGATGCTCGAAAATAGGAAGAAAACGCAGAAAAAGAGTTTGCTTGAATATTTCTACAGTATGACCGCATTAGCAAATCAATCAAAGTTGGGCGAAGAAAGTATTATAGAATACATAGTGGAGGGTATACCAGATTCGAAGCAAAATAAAAAGTGTCTGTACCAGGCGTCCAATCTTAAGGAGTTTCGTGAGAAGCTTAAGGCTTACGAAAAGATTTGCGCGAGTCATAAGTTTAAGCCAAAGACAAAATTTGACAGTTCTTTAGTCAAAACTAACCAAGATGGCAGACGTTGCTTTAAGTGTGGCGGCAGCAATCATATTGCAAAGGATTGTAAGGAAGTAGGTACAAAATGTTTCAAATGCAATCACATAGGTCACAAGGCAAATCAATGCGGTACCAACGAAGCTCGTAAGGAAGTGAAAAATGAAAGCTCAAACATTCAGCAGCTGTCACAGTCAACTTTTAACAGAACGTTTAAAAACATAAACATTGGCAACGACCAGATTACGGCTTTATTCGATTCTGGCAGCGATATTTGTACTGTTTCCGAGACAGCGTACACTCGCATTTATCCTGATATTATCAAACCTGATATTAAGGAGCTTTTGGGAATAGGTGGTAAGAAGATATAGACTCTAGGCTCATTCACAGTTGCGACGAAGTTAGATGACGTGGACGTTGATATGTGCTTTCATGTGTTGCGTGACAATGATACCTGTGGGAGCCGGCAATGAGCGGCGATGTCATACAGGAGAGCGGCGAGAATGGCAAGGAGAGCGCGAGCGGAGTGACAGAGCAGGGGGAGAGTTAGTTGTAATTGACCGAGCGTGCGGAGCAGACGCGACACGATTATTACTTAAATAAATCAATTGTTCTATAATCTTAATTGGAAATAACCTGTCCTTATTGAGGGGGAACTTACGGGATACTACATTGGCGACGAGGTAAAACTGTTTTTCAAAAGTATATACAAGAAATAGCAATAATTAATCTCATTTAAACGTACATGCATGTATGTATGTATGTAAAACGAAAAACTGCGTATGGCAGTGCCATCCCAAAAAAAAAAGGGGAACGGAAAGAAGAACATAAATAACATAAATGAGATTAGTAATTGTTATACTTGTAAAGTTCAGCGCAAAACCAAATTACGAAACATAAGTAAAAAGAAAAAAAAAAACAATAAAGAGAGGCTGAGTTTTAAACAAGCCAGATAACTTAAGAGAAATTTACTCTGAAAAAAAAGGGCTGAGTGAAAGATTTACATTTTTGAAAGCCGCATGTGTATGCATGTGTAACTATGTATGTACGCAGGTGAAAACGTGCATAGGAAAGGCTGTGCGGAAGAGTTTGTTTAGGCTGTATAATAAATCGACTGCGTGTAAATACAAGTCGAAAGGGGCTGCGTGTAAACAAGCCCAAAAGAACAATTTTTAGTAAAGGCTGTGCGGAAGAGTTTGGTCTTGCGTAAGCTAGATAACTATAAAAAAAAGAGAGGCTGCGTAAAAACAAGCCCAGAATTTCAAGTCTAAAATGAAATTTTGTTTCGTTGTCTAAAATCTAGCAAACACAAACGCACGACCCCAGAATGGCGGAAAATTATTTAAAACCATTCCTATGTGAAGCAATTGAGAAATCGGTCCTTCGAAATGAATGGGAGAAATGGTTTAGAGCGTTCACTATCTCGATGGAGGCTGAACAGATCGTGTCACCCAAAATGAAGAGAACTAAACTCCTTCACGTAGGTGGGGTACAATTGCAAGCTGTCGCGTTCTCGTTACCGGGTGCACTGGTAGAGGATGACGAGGACGGGGAGGTCGACGTCTTCACTGTTTTGGTCGAGAAATTAAATGCCTACTTTTCGCCGAAACAAAATTCAACGTTTGAAAGGCATCTATTTCGAAGTATATCACCACATGAGTCAGAGAATTTCTCAAAGTTTATTTTACGACTACGACAACAAATGTATAAATGTTCTTTCGGCCAATCTAAAGTGGAGATTGAGGAAATCTGCTTAAAAGACAAAATAATTGATTCGTGGGCGCCGCTGGAGCTAAAGAAGAAACTCTTGGGTAAGGAATACTCCTTGGACGAAGTTATTGAAGCGTGCCAGGTCGAGGAACAAATAAGCAAACAATCTGAAGCCATGCTGACGAAACCTATCACTAGCGTTTCAATCAATAAACTTACTGCTCGGAAAATAAGGCCAAATCTGGAGTGTTCGAGATGTGGTCGAATGGGGCATGCAAATAGCGATTTCTCCTGTCCGGCCCGAGCAGCTAAATGTAACAAATGTTCCAAGATAGGTCATTTTGCACGACAATGCAGAACAACACAATATGCTCAGCCGAAACACGAAAATAGGAAGCGCCGCCGAAATGATATTCGTTGCGTGGAAGATAAGAGCGCTGATCCCAAACGGAAGAAGGAATGTGCGAATTGTTTTAAGATCTACAGCGACGAAGAAGAAGAACTCATAAACTGCCAAATAGGGGGTCACAACATTGCTCTCATTATTGACTCTGGATCGAAATTTAACCTTATTAGTCAATCAGATTGGGCAAGGTTTAACAAGGAACCTACAGCAATCTTCAACATTAGATCGCATTCTCAGAAACAATTTCGAGGATATGCTTCTGAACAATTACTTGAAGTAATTTACGTTTTTGAAGCGCCGATATCAGCTGTGCCGAATGTCGAGGTGATTGCAACATTTTTCGTAATTAAAAATGGACGGCAGTCGCTACTGGGCCGAGAGACCGCCATTAAGCTGAACGTTCTTCGGCTAGGTCTAGATGTCAATCGGGTGGAAATGACCACGCCATTCCCTAAATGGAAAGGGGTTAAAATAAAACTATGGATTGACCCCCAAGTCATTCCAATTCAGCAGCCAGTTCGAAGAATCCCGGTGGCACTCGAGGAAAAAGTTGCCGCTAAGCTGGAAGAGAGTTTAAGTCGGGACATCATCGAATCAGTTACAGGTCCGAGCTCGTGGATATCCCCCATTGTCCTGGCTTTTAAGGAAAACGGCGATATTCGGCTGTGCATTGACATGCGTCGTGCGAATAAGGCCATTCGTCGAGAAAATTATCCACTACCGACCTTTGAGTCTTTTATGCCCAAGCTAAAGGACGCAAAATACTTTTCGCGCTTAGACCTAAAAGATGCTTATCACCAGCTGGAACTGGACGAAGCCAGCAGAGAAATTACGACTTTCATAACACCAAAAGGACTCTTTCGGTACAAGCGGCTGATGTTCGGAATTAACTCTGCTCCAGAAATTTTCCAACGTCACCTCGAGCAGCCCTTTACTAATGTCATGAATTATATTGACGATGTAATAATCTTTGGAGCTAGCGAAGAAGAACATGACAAGACTGTAAGAGAGGTTTGTAACACATTTAAAGAAAGCGGCGTTTTACTAAACGATCAGAAGTGCATCTGGAAAACAAACAAACTCAAGTTCCTTGGTCATATTATTTCTGACGAGGGAATCGAAGTGGACCCGGATAAAATTAATGTGATTAGAATGTTTCGAGAACCACTTAACAAGGAAGAGACTCGGAGTTTCCTAGGTTTGGTGACATACGTGGGGAAATTTATCCCAGACCTGGCAGATTACACGGATCCGCTGAGAAAATTACTGAGGAAGGACTCGAAATTCAGCTGGGGCGAAACAGAAGGAGATGCTTTTCGGAACTTAAAGGATCGACTGGAAAAAGTACCAAACCTTGCCTACTTCAACCCGCTAAATCGAACTCTCCTAATAGCAGATGCTAGTCCTGTAGCACTGGGAGCGGTGCTGTTGCAGTTCTCTGTAAATGCGGACCCCTTAATTATTTCATTCGCTAGTAAAGCTTTGTCGGACGTTGAGAGACGTTATTCTCAAACGGAGAAAGAAAGTCTGGCTCTAGTCTGGGCTGTTGAGAAATTTTACTTTTACTTAGCAGGACTTCATTTCGAGCTAGTGACAGATCACAAACCGTTGGAGGCCATTTTTAAACCGACATCGAGACCTCCTGCGCGCATAGAAAGATGGTTGCTACGGCTACAGTCCTTTGATTTTAAAGTAGTCTACAAAGCGGGAAAAGAGAACATCTCCGACGCTCTATCCCGACTTTGTCCGTTATCAGCATCCGACTCTGGAGAAAAAGAAATGGATTGTAGCATATTACAAGTGATCGAGAACAGCATTCCCCAATCAATGACTATCTCGGAAATTGCAAAGCATTCGGTAAAGGACGAAGAAATTATCGATGCAAAGGCCTGTCTGGAGTGCGACTCATGGAAACCAGGATCTCTAAAACTGCTGTACCCATTTCGATTTGAGTTATCAGCAATAGGACCCCTTCTTTTGCGAGGTAACCGAATTGTTATTCCTCAATCACTTCGGTACCAAGTGCTTGAGCTGGCTCACGAAGGACACCCGGGAGAGTCAGCTATGAAAAGGTGTCTGCGATCCAAGGTATGGTGGCCTCTAATTGATCGTGATGCAGAGAACTATGTCAAACGCTGCAGAGATTGTCTTCTGGTCTCCCAATGCCCTAGGCCAGCACCAATGGATAGGAACCCATTTCCAACAGGTCCATGGATTTGGGTAGCATCAGACATATTGGGGCCCCTACCAAACAACGAGTTTGTTGTAGTGTTTATTGACTACTATTCCCGCTATATGAAGTTCAAATTTTTACGCTCAATTTCCACAAAAAGCTTAATTGAAGTAATGAAGGAAATATTCTGTAGATTAGGCTACCCAAAATACTTAAAAACTGACAATGGACGGCAGTATATAAGTCAAGAATTCGAGGAATACTGCAAAACTTGCGGTAAAGAACAGGTGAAGACTCCACCCTATTGGCCCCAGGCTAATGGGGAAGTGGAAAACATGAATCGGTCTTTGGTCAAACGGTTAAAGATAGCACACTCTAATTCAAAGAATTACAAGGAAGAAATCCAGAAATTTGTACTCATGCACAACGTTACTCCACATGGCACAACAGGAGTAGCCCCCACCCAACTGATGTTTAATAGGGTTATTCGCGACAAGGTTCCATGTATAGGTGATATTGATGAAGAGGTTTCAGACTCGGCCGAAAGGGACAGGGATTGTATGTTAAAAGAAAAAGGGAAGGAAGAGGCAGATAAGAAGAGGGGAGCACGGGAAGCCGTGATAAACGTAGGGGATAAAGTACTCTTGAAAAATGTAGTTTTTCCTAGTAAGTTGACTCCGAATTTTAAGGATACCGAATTCGAGGTTGTTGAAAAAGACAGAAACATAGTTAAAATTAGGGCAGGGGGTAGGACTCTCACGAGAAATGTATCGCACCTCAAGAAAATACCAATCAACGCAGGTCACCTGGATACATCTGGAGACTCATCGTTAAGCAGCCCTCAACCGAAGATGACATCTACTCAGGATCACCAAGACGTCGAAGAAGGAATAGGTCATCGGCTTAGACAGTCCCCAGAAGATTTGGCTCCTTTGGCTGCCCCATCCATGAAGCTAAAACTTGTCAATAAAGGAGGAATGTGGGAGCCGGCAATGAGCGGCGATGTCATACAGGAGAGCGGCGAGAATGGCAAGGAGAGCGCGAGCGGAGTGACAGAGCAGGGGGAGAGTTAGTTGTAATTGACCGAGCGTGCGGAGCAGACGCGACACGATTATTACTTAAATAAATCAATTGTTCTATAATCTAAATTGGAAATAACCTGTCCTTATTGAGGGGGAACTTACGGGTTACTACAATACCCTTTATGAAGGTGTGATCGGTAGCTATGTCCTTAATAGGGTAACCGCAACAATTGGAGCAAAAGGATTCGTTTTCCACGCAGTTCATTCAGTAGATCTTGACCATATCTCCGATTCCTCCTTAGGTAGAGATGAAAATAGTCCAAGCCACGACATAGATCTCACTCATTATAGTGTCAATCAAAATGTGGCCGTAGATGCGACTTGCACTAACATTTCAGACTTGACAGAAACTTTCTATCAATTAATGGCGTCTAATATCATTGAAAACATTGTTCCAGATTTAGATCTGCTTCACTTGAGCACCGACATAAGATCAGCAGTGGTTGGATTAGTTCAAATTTACAAGCCATTAGAGCCAGAGTCAAGCCCAGTAGAAATGAAATTGCTCCTCACAGATGAAATCCCAGTCTATCAGAGACCTAGGACCTCGTACGCTTACCGTACAAGGAAACTGAGAAAGTTAACAAGCAGATTAGGGATTGGCTGAAGGAAGGAATCATTCGTCAAAGTGTTTCCGAATACGCTTCGCCCATAGTTTTGGTTGCAAAAAAGAATGGCACCAAAAGACTCTGTCACGACTACCGCAAATTGAATCAGAAGATTATTCGTTATAATATCCCTATGGCCTTGATTGACGATGTTTTACATAAGCTTCAGAAGGGAAAAGTATTTACAACGTTAGACTAATCAAACGGATTTTTCCATGTCCCCGTGCAGGAAAGCTCTCGCAAATACACTGCGTTCGTCACCTAAAGCGGTCAATACGAATTCTGCTACGTACCATTCGGAATTTCCAATTCCTCTGCGGTGTTTGTGCGATACATTTTTGCAGTGCTCAGGCCATTGATTGAAGACGGTACCCTAACCCTGTACATGGATGATTTGATTATTCCATCAAAAGACAAACAAGACGGTTTGGAGAAATTAAAGACAGTTTTAGATATCGCAATGCGATCAGGTCTGCGTATTAAGTGGAAAAAGTGTCAGGTTTTAAAGAAGAGGGTCCAATTCCTGGACTATATAATCGAAAACGCAACTATCCAACCATCAGCAGAGAAGACTGGTGCAGTCGAAAACTTCCCAGTCCCGCGAAACAAAAAAAGAATTTAAACAATATCTTGGCTTAACATCCTATTTCCGAAGGTTTGTGAAAGACTTCGCTATTATTGTCAGACCATTGTCGAACTTGCTTAGAAAGGGCACTTCCTTTAAGATGGGCAAGGAAGAGTTAGCATCGTTTAAGCAATTAAAAGTATCCCTGATAAGTTCGCCTGTACTGAAGTTATTCGATCAAAAGAGTGCAACAGAAGTTCATTGTGATGCAAGCATGTACGGATACGGAGCAGTCCTTCTTCAAAAGGATTCAGCTGATCAAGAATTCCACCCGGTAGAGTACATTAGCCGTAAAACAACAGATGCGGGGGAGAAATTTCCTTCTTATGAGCTAGAAGTACTCGCTATATTACAAGCTCTAAAGAAGTGGAGAATCTACTTGCTGGGGAGAAAGATTAAGATCGTCACAGACTGCAATGCAATGAATGATGTTCCAGTAAAAGTATCTCGTTGGGCCATGTTTTTACAAGACTTTAAGTACATAATAGAGCATCGCCCAGGCACAAGGATGAAACATGTCGACGCCTTAAGCCGAGTAAATACCTTGTTGCTTCAAGATTCAGTCAGATATCGAATTCAACAGGCTCAACGTCAGGATGAATGGATAAAAGCCATTTGTAAGGTCCTGGAAACAAATACCTACGATGACTTCTATCTGAAGCACGAAGTTCTCCACAAGGATTCTATAAAAGAGCTCATAGTGATGCCATCAGTCATGGAGAACGAAATAATTAACACAGATCACCGACAAGGACACTTTGGTGTAAAAAAGACAATTGACTTGGTGCAGCGCGATTACTTCATCCCAGATTTAGAGAAAAAGGCTCAAACTCAAAGAAGGCTCATAGTGAAGTTGTGTGTAGAGTGCATAGTTGGCGAGGCTAACTATGGAAAAAAATAGGGATTCTTAAACGCAATAAACAAGGCAGACGAGCCGTTACAGACCTATCATATTGACCACATTGGCCCCATGGACATGACAAAAAAACAATACAATCATGTTTTAGTAGTAGTCGACGCTTTCTCTAAATTTGTGTGGCTTTACCCCACTAAGAGTACTGGCGCTGACGAAGTAGTGGATAGAATGGAAAGGCAGGCTGAAGTTTTCGGTAACCCAAGTCTTATAATCACGGATCGTGGAACGGCATTCACAGCCAATGTTTTTCAGGAATACTGTAAGGATCACAATATTCAGCATTTGTTGGTAGCCACAGGAGTGCCACGTGGCAACGGTCAAGTAGAGCGTATCAATAGGATTGTCACTATATTGACAAAACTTTGTGCAGAAGACCCGAAAGCTTGGCATAAGCATGTAGGCAGGGTTCAACAATTTATTAATTCCTCCCCACCTAGAAGTACCAAGATAGCTCCATTCAAATTCTTACTGGGATCAATATGAAGACCGAGTACGATTAAGAGTTAGAAAAGCTGTTAGAGGAAGATTTCCTAAATGAGTTACAGGGAGAGAAGGAGATGATTCGAGAGGAAGCTAAGGAGAACATCGCAAAGATTCAGGACGAGAATCGCAAGTCATTCAACAAATCAAGGAAGCCAGAGTCTGAGTACAAACTCGGAGATTTAGTAGATATTAAAATAACGCAGTTTGGTGCAGGGTTGAAGTTGAAGAAAAAGTACTTAGGGCCGTAACCCCTAAGTTGAGACATGGTCGATACCTCGTCGAAAAAGTAGGAGATGAGGAAGGTCCAAATAAAACAAACACTGTCACCGAATATATGAAGTTGTGGTCGTCCTAATTCGGGTCGAATGAATTGTCAGAATAGCCGAATGTAGGATTGGCAGTCCTATTTTATAATCGATAAGTTGTTCTGTTCCATCACACTTTTCTCTAGTGTTAAACAGCGTGAAAAATGAGAAGAAGTAGAGATTGAGCATCAGCAGAGGAAGGTCGCGTGTATCTGCAGTATATCAAAATGTTTAACTGTAAACTAACTAAGTAAACTAAACTGTATCAAAAACTATATTCATCGAAGAATAAATCGTGTCTAATAATTTAATGAAGTCAACGGAAGCCTTTCTCTACACATATGTATGTGGCTATATACAGTTGCCATTCTCAAAGTGGTGCTTATCATGGAAGAGTTATTTGATTGTTGGCTTATCTGCTTCTATGGGTAAATATCTATAGGCAAATGATCGTTGTTCACATAAAAGTTTATGGTCGATGATACTTTTTTACAAATTAGTCAGTAAGGTTTCAGTAAGTCGGTACTAATTCTGAATTTGATTAATGTTGTTGTCAAGACCTTTTACTTTTAACGTCGGAGATAAATCGACGTAGGTGGAAACCCAGGAGCGGGGGAAAACGTGGCAGCCCTTTTGCTCAGTAGCAGGGCGTAAGGTGTAGTTGTTTTGGTGACCTGGCAACCGGCACAAAGATGAAATTGGAAGCTGGAAACTAGAAGTAGAAAGCTGCGTGGAAATAGCATTATTTTTCATTTCTGGCGTGGATCGAAGGCCATCGCGAGTTAAGAAGGTGTCGCGAGACTGGAGACTTCGCGAGAAGCGGCCATTGTCTGGCTGATACTCGGTGCGGTTCCAGAGTGAGGCAGATCGCGGTTATCGGTGGCGAGGTGAGTTTGTAAGGTTAGGCCATGTTCGAGCGTGCCTGATGCATTCTTTTGGTTTACCAGATCGGAGGTCCTGGTGAAACGTATGAGAGATCTTTGATGAGAGAGAAGCAGAATTCGAGCGGGGAATTGTCGATAATTCTAGGGTCCGAAAAAAAAAACCTAACCGGTGCATTTACCGTAGGGGCAGAAGCCTTTTAAAGCGATACGGGTTTCTCCGATCATTATCCTGTCACGTTGTCCGATTTGCGGCCTAAGAAGCTCCACCAAATAAACAATTGCCTTTACCTTTACAACCGAAAACCAGCCTTTGTGATTAAAAGCCAAGATAAAAAAAAAAATAGAAGCTTTTCCGTGCTGGGCCACGAAATTTTTGCCCACGGATAAGGATTATGAATTGGATCAATGATTCGTGCTGAAATAAATAGAAAAGCATCGAATTGGTACGTTCTGATCCTGCCAGCCGCGAACAGCCCTTCACCACGATGCGGTGAAAGGATCCTTATTTTCTTAGATCATCAGTTTCTTGCGAAGATTGTTAAATTTAAATATTATTTAAATGAGATCTGCTGCGCGATAAGAACCTCAGTCCATTCCGGTACGGAAGTTTATAAGATCGGGGCGATCGTATATGCTCATGAAGGAACTAGGGCTCATGGAGGATAGAGGGATCCGGTTATCCACCGAAGATTCGTTGGAATTGGTGCGTTCTCAGGCTCGGAAGGCTTTAGCGAGGCAAACGGAGAAGAATGAAAGCCGCCATAACGCATGGTCTAGTGAGGTGACGTATCGAGAAGGACAAGCAGGACTTTTCCGCAGGAATTTCCAGCAAAGCAATTTTGCAGTGGGTTACAATCCCAAGCTTGGCCCGAGATACGTTAAGGCTAGAGTTTGTAAGAGAACGGGTAATTCCACCTATTTCACCTTATAATTTGGGTCAAAGGTTCGTCCTGAAATAATTAATTAATGGTAAATAGAAGCGCCTGAATAAATGGCCTGAATAAATTATTAATCCGCAGGTACGCCAGTAGCCACAGCAGCCCTTCACTACGGTGCGGTCCATGCCTAGTTTAAATTAGCATTAAGAGCTAAGAGCATTAAGATGTTATAGAGTAGAGACCATTGTAGTTCAAACATAATACCCTAAAAGGGTCATGCAGTGCATATGTCGAACTACAACGGCTAAAGAACAGAGGACTAAAGTTTCGAGTCCTTCTAATAGGAATGTTAAAATTTAAGTGTGTTAGTAAATGCTGGTTATCTACATCCCTGTTGTGACTGCGCCGATAGAATACGGGAGTCAATGATTAGCAGAAGTCTGCTATGGGGACTTTGCTGTTCCCGTTTTATAAAAACACAGGGTTTGTTTCAAGTATGTCACTGAATTTAATTTGAATTGATTTTAGAGATCAAACAATGTTGGCAGTATAACAAAATGTGTTTTTAGTCGTAATAATTGGAAGAAGCTTAGAGATGTCCCGCTTTCCGAAGGGACCGGGGTCTCGAGATCGATAGACATCAAGCAAGTATCGATTGTAGGGTTGTGGTATGCACTAACATTACGTAATGAACATTACGACAACGAAAATGACCGTACATGCCGCCCCGCAATACTGGGTCCAGCATTAAGACATCCTTCTAATGGTAACTGAAAGAAACAGGTGAAATGTTTGCTGTGGTATGGATGTGAGATCAAATGCGTGTATCACTATTGTTCAAGATTAGCTTCCTCGACTTTAGCTTCCGTGTAATTCGGGATGGGTAATCTGCAGATCTTGGATACTGATCGCTTATATGTACCCGAACCTGTATAGATTGTTGCAACTCGTACCATCCCATCGGCTCCAGGGTGTAATTCTATAACACGACCTAGTTTCCAATCGGTTGGACCTGTCCTGTCGTCCTTGATAATAACTAGGTCATTGACCTGTAGGTTTTCTTCCTCTTGTCTCCACTTAGGGCGTGCCTGAACGTGAGACAACCAATCTGAGCTCCACCTTTTCCAGAACTGGCGTAGAATCCGTTGTCCCTCCATGAACTGTGTGTTGAGCGACTGGTCCTTGTCACTGGGGGTAGGAAGCGATTACATGGAGTCTCCGATGAGAAAATGAGTTGAAGTCAATACTTGCAGATCGTTAATATCCGCGGTTAACGGGCATAATGGCCGAGAGTTAAGACAGGCCTCGATCTGGATAAGAACGGTTGATAATTGTTCATCAGTCATTGGGTATCTTTTAAAGGAACGATGAAGATGAGACCTTACGGCTTTAACGTTAGCCTCCCAAAGTCCTCCGAAGTTTGGGCTGTGTGGGGGGTTAAAATGCCACTGAATATAGCGCTTTGTGAGTTCTGGGACGACTGTCTGGTTGATTTCCTACCGGAACTCGTTAGACCACAACTGTAGGAATTTATCTGCTGCTATAAAATTTGTGCCGCAGTCACTGTACATGTGCCGCACAAAACCGCGGCGTCCAATGAACCGTTGGAGATCCCAGAGAAAATGTTGTGCTGTGAGTCCTGTCACCAGCTCCAAATGGATAGCTTTACTGGCGAGGCAAATGAATACTGCAATATAGGCCTTGTATGAGTGTGTCCTCTGAACCTTGGCCTTGAGGCCTTGACATCGATAGATCCTGTGTAATCCACACCTGTAGCTTCGAACGCTCTTTTCGGCGGATTAACACGATGGTATGGAAGATCACCCATTAATTGTCGAGAGGGTTTAGGGCGATGCTGAAAGCAATCCACACACTGTCGGAGAACTCTTTTACCGCTTGTTTGCCATTAATGATCCAAAACTGCTGATGGATGATCGCACGGGTCAGTTGCACTCCCCCATGCATGGTGTTCAGATGGGCGTTTTTTATGACGAGGTCCGTAAAATGATGTGACTTCGGTAAAATGATGGGCGTGCGTTGTTGAGTGGTGAGCTGCAAAGCGTTTCGAAGTATGCCCCGCACTCTGAGGATCCCTTGGGCATCTATGAATGGCGAAAGTTAACTAAGCTTGTTAGATTTTGATAGCGATTTGTTTACTCGCAACTTGGACAGTTCGTGAGAGAATGCTTCCTGTTGGACAACGCGAACCAGAGTATACATTGCCTTGGAAAACTCCTTTACGCTAATTGGTCCGGAAAGCCGAGCCTCCCTTTTGCAGCGAGTATTATGGATAAAGCGATTAATGAATGCTGTGGAAAATACAAGTCGACTGTATGACGAAAATGACTCAACAAAGGAATCAGTGGATGCACAGGTGTGAGCGTGGATAACTTTTGCTGCCTGTTCCTCGCAGATTGTGCTCGGATCTGGAGAAGTAAGAGTTACCTTGGGCCTATGATCTTCGGGTTCCTGCAACCAGTCTGGGCCGCTCCACCAGAGCTTATCCTGCGCGAGCTGTAGTGGGGTTAAACCGCGCGTTGCACAATTCGCAGGGTTGTCCTGCGTAGACACATGACCCCACTGTGAAGCAGAGCTGACCTCTTGGATGCTGCCAATTCGATTGGCTACAAAAGTCTTCCACCTGCATGGATCTCCATATATCCAGTGAAGCACGATCATGGCGTCTGACCAGTAGTACACTGTGACCCGCATCTGAGGCACGTGAAGTTGCTGCTGGATCCATGTGGCGAGTTTGGTAGCTAGAACTGCTCCGGAAAGCTCCACTCGCGGTATGGTGAGAGGCTTTGTTGGTGTAACCCTAGTGCGAGCTGCGACTAAGTGTGTATGTATAATTCCAGCAGTGTCGAGTACTCGAAGGTAGGCACACGCTGCATACGCGAGGGACGACCCATCGGAGAACATGTGCAATTGAAGAGATATCACATTGCTGAAATCGCAACCGAACCATCGTGGTATGCGAATGTGTTGAACTTCTGGAAGATGTTCGAGATATCGCTGCCAACGCGCTGCCAAAGACTCTGGTAGCATGTCGTCCCAATCGAGTGCACGGTAAGTGCCATCAGTTTGCTGCATACGGAAGCTCCATACGTCCTTGAGGAGAATTTTTGACATGCCTATTAAGGGTGCTAAAAATCCTAATGGATCGAAGAGCCGCGCCACTGTTGATAAAAGAGCCCTTTTCGAAAGTGTGGGATTGATCGAGAAATGGATTTTGAATCCGTAGACGTCCGGATTTGGCTGCCAGTACAGTCCGAGCGTTTTAATGCTGTCTTTATTATCCATTTCGAAGATTGAGTGGTTGCAGAGGTCTACTTTAGGAATATCGCTAAGCAACGCCGGGTGGTTCGCTGCCCATTTTCGAAGATGCATACCAGCCGAGCGGAGGGCTGCTATGACCTCGTTTCGCACTCGAATGGCACCGTCACGCCACCAAATGCGCTGGAATTGAGAGTCCTCTGGATGCATTTCGATACATCGGTACATCCTTTGGATGTCCGCCACGAAAACATAGCGATAACAACGCCAATTTAGTATCACTCCTCTCAAATCGTTATGTAGAGCTGGGCCAGTACATAAAATGTCATTCAGTGATTTCCCGTTGGAGCTCTTACAAGAGGCGTCGTAGACTACCCTGAGTTTAGTCGTCAGGCTGTCCTCCTTCAGGACTGCATGGTGTGGAATCGTGCTGCAGAAGACGTCGAGCTTCCCATTTGTGTTGATATGAGAGTGACTGTCTTCGCTTGTAGTGACTTCTTGTATTTGCTGTAAGTCAAAATATTCCTCGATTGCTTGGAGATATTGTTGATGAAGCTTATCGCGCTGCTGCAATTTTCGCTTTAGTGTGTAGAAACGATTTAGGGCTATAAGTTTTGATCGGCCTAGAACTTGTGACGGGTCGAACAAGGTTTTCAGTGGTAAGCGAACCATGTATTTCCCGTTGGGCTGTCGAACATGGGTTTGACGAAAGTGTTCTTCGCACCATCGTTCCTCTGTGGTGAGTTGGCGTTCTGACGGCACGCTATCTAGTTCGAAGAACCTTTGCACCAGATGATCAAGCGTCGTGGTGTTACAACGGACAGTGATGGAGTGTGTCATGGATTTCCTCACTGGTCCAAAAACAATCCAACCAAGAAGAGTGTTTTGTGCGATTGGTTCCTCATGAGTTCCTCGTCGAATTTCTGGGAGCATCAATTGTGGAATAAGATCAACGCCCACAAGCACGTCAATACGACCGGAGCGGGCAAAATTGGGATCGGCGAGTTGCAATCCTTTAAGGTGTTGGAATGAGCGAGGGTCGACATCCTATTTTGGAAGGTGCCCTGTAAGTGTACGGAGAATAAATGCAGTGGATAAAAACGATGTGAACTGGGAACCTGAAATCGAGCTTAGGACAAAATTGGTACTATGTCGACAACGATTGTGAGAGGAGTCGCCGATCCCTGTTATTTCCGCAGATATAGGGGTGCGTGAGAGACCCAGCGTCTGTACTAAGCTTTCGGTGATAAGTGTTCCTTCCGAGCCATGGTCAATCAACGCTCTGACTAAAACAGATTGTCCCGTTTGGTCGTTGACAATTCGGATTAGGGCCGTGGCGAAAATCGTGGTGGATGGATTTTGATAGGTGGCAACTGCGCTGAGGAGTTGCGTCTCGTTCGAAGCAGTTAAGCCGGGGGCTAGGCTGTGCTGTTGAGACAAAACAGATGAGCGGGATGCTACGCTCTGTTGGGTGCCCTGCGCGCTATGGACACCGTTCGTTGGCTGTCGCGATAGGGCAGAGTTGGTAGGCTGGGTTGCTATGTTCGGAAAATGCAGAAGCGTATGGTGGCATTGGCCGCACTGTAAGCAATTGCGAGTGCTGCCGCAGTGACTTAGTGCGTAGCCTGTGCTGAGACAATTGAGGCATGCTTTTATGCGATCGACGATCGTCTTACGAGCAAAGCAATCCTTCGCGAGAAAACTGGGGCATCTCCGGAGAACATGGTTTCTTTGGCAGAGAGTGCACTGGGGTGCTCCCATTTCCGTCGTCACATGAAAACTGTGGCGGTTAGTGGAATTGAAGTTGGATCGGCTAGGCGCACGAGGATGGGAAGATTGTCCTGGTGCTGAACGAGTTCCAAGTGGTTGATTTCGATTTTCGATTAGGTGGATGCTAACTAAGCGCTCCAGCAGGAAAGTCTCCAACATCGAAAAGGTTGGAATCTCGGTGGAGCTCCCCAATGAGTGCTCCCACGCTTGCGTAGTGCTGCTTGGTAGTTTGGTTAACAGATGATGCACTAGCCAGTGATCGCAGGAATCAATGTTTATTTTTAAACGTCGAAGATCACTAATGCAAACATTAGCCAGGGTTAGCACGCGCCTGATACCTTCTGCAGCTTCCTTGGGAACCGACTCAAGACCATACAGTGCCGCCATGGTGTGCATAAAGTGGAGACGTGGATTGTTGTAGCGCTTGACGAGGAGATCCCAGGCTACCGTATACCCAGAATCCGTTAATGCCATGTGACTGACATCCTAGTCCCGTCCTTCGGGCAAGGCCTGCTTGAGAAAGTGAAACTTCTGGATGTTAGAGAGAGTGTTGTTGTCATGGATGAGTTGTAGGAAACCATCGTAAAACGAGGGCCAATCCGTAAAGCTTCCCAAAAAGCGTGGAACTGTAAGCTTCGGAAGCGGAATGTTGGATGATAAAATTGGAGTGACGGACTCGATTGGTGGGGAACCTTGGACTATCACTGAGAACTTGTTGTCGTATTCTTCCGAGATGTTGCAGAAGATGTGCTGGTGCTCTTCAACAAACCGCTCGTATAGGTTGTCTGAGAAATATACATATTGACTGGGACACAGCTGATCGACCAATTGTTGGTGATTCGCATCAAACAGGGTGGATAAATCCTTTAACGTGCTAAGTCGCTGAAGAAAATAATGTTTGGATTTTCGGGATTGGCTATCCTTCTTGAAGTTACGCTCGAGTTGCGTCAACCTGTTCCATTAATCCTTCTGTCTCGCGTGCAAACCAGCAAACTGGTCGGATGGGGAAGGATTGGCTTGTGTGCCTGTCTTTTCATCGTCGATACCTATAGTTTTATTGAATTTACAACAGCACGCTTGAAATCACAGCCCTCACATACAAACACTCACCGGCTTCCAGTCAATCTGTGTAGCTGTTCCCAGTTTCAATTCGTCGTTCCTTTGGTCCGTTATTCGTCTCGCAGCAATCTCTCCTTCCTTTGTCCGTTATTCGTCGCGCAGCGATCCCTTGTTCTTCGGTCCGTTATTCGTAGAAAGCGTGGTTCCACGTGGCATAGGTTAATAGCCGTTTGTTTCAGATTAATTTGAGCCCAATTGTTTGTTCCAAATCAATTCAAATTCCATTCATTGGCACATTTAACAACAGGTTCCCCTCATGGGCCACAACAAATGTTGTGACTGCGCCGATAGAATACGGGAGTCAATGATTAGCAGAAGTCTGCTATGGGGACTTTGCTGTTGCCATTTTATAAAAACACAGGGTTTGTTTCAAGTATGTCACTGAATTTAATTTGAATTGATTTTAGAGATCAAATAATGTTGGCAGTATAACAAAATGTGTTTTTAGTCGTAATAATTGGAAGAAGCTTAGAGATGTCCCGCTTTCCAAACGGACCGGGGTCTCGAGATCGATAGACATCAAGCAGGTATCGATTGTAGGGTTGTGGTATGCACTAACATTACGTAATGAACATTACGATAACGAAAATGACCGTACAATCCCCGTTAAAAAGGTTATGCAAAAAAATTACACTGAGCATTGTCCTACGATTTGTTAAGCTAGGTAAGTTTATAAGTAAAAGTCTGCTACTGTAGGATGGAAGCTAACGATTTGCATCCCAGTATAGACCTCTAAGTGAAAAAGTTAGGAAATTCTTTTGTACGGATTCTATGCGGTCCTTATGTACTCCATTAAGGGGACTCCAGACACATGAACCGTACTCTAGTATAGGACGGACCAAAGAAATATATAATGTTTTGGTTATATAGGGGTCATTAAATTCTTTTGACCACCTTTTGATAAAACCAAGGACTCCTTTAGCCTTATTAACCATTAAGGAAATATGGTCGGCAAATTTAAGTTTGATGTCTAATAGGATGCCGAGATCATTAACCTGGGTTAATTTTTCTAAGGCAATCCCATTAATGGAATACGTAGCTTGCAGAGGGCATAAAAACACATATGCTTGCATTTTGATCCATTAAGTATTAGATCGTTAGCTAAACACCATTCTTGAAAGTTATCAAGGTCAGACTGAAGACTGCATTGGGCAGAGATGGATTTGTACTGATGACAAAGCTTTACATCATCTGCATACATAAGAACTAGAGAGTTCGTTAAAGCAGGGGGCAAGTCGTTTATAAAAAGAGTAAATAATAACGGGCCAAGATGACTTCCTTGAGGGACGCCGGATGTAGCATGGACCAGACGGGACTGTATGTTTTTAAATAAGACTCTTTGTGTCCTTCCATCTAGGTAGCTGGAGATCCACGTTAAGAGCTATTTAGGAAAACCCAGCATATTCAGTTTACTCAACAAGAGTGAGTGATTAACTGAATCAAATGCTTTGCTGAAGTCTGTGTAAATTACATCGGTTTGATATCCCTTACAAAAGCCATCTATGACAAAGGATGTCAACTCCAGTAAATTAGTGGTGGTGGAGCGACGCTTAATAAAACCATGCTGACAAGGAGTGATAATCGAAGAGCAAAGGTGTTGCAAGTGAGGGGTAATTAATTTTTCAAATAACTTTGGAATTGCCGACAACTTAGAGATGCCTCTGTAGTTGGCAGCCTCGGACTTTTTCCCTTTTTTATGTAGGGGAATTATGAATGATTCCTTCCACTTATGGGGAAAAATCGAGGTTTCCAAATATAAGTTGAAAAGTCTTAGAAGAGGTTTGCACAGAGCAAACTAGGAGGAGTTAGTAAGGAAATTTAAAATTCTATTATATTTTAAATTTGAAGGACAGGAAAGAGTAGTTCGAACATTGTAGTTCGAACATAAGGAGTTCGTGCTGTGCATATGTCGAACAAAGGAGTAGAAAACTAAAGTTTCTAGTCCTTTTATTGGAAATGTTAAAAATTAAACGTGTTAGTAAATGCTGGCTATCTACATCCCCATTGATTAGGTTATGTAGGAAAACTATACCCAGCATTGTCCTACGATTGGTTAAACTTGTTAAATGTATTTACTTGGTATTTAAGAGTCTACAATTATAAGATGGACGGTGAAGATTTGCATCCCAGTTAAGAACTCTAAGAAGTTACGAAATTCTTATGTACGGACCTGATGTGGGGCTGATGTACTCCATATTGGATTACATGTACTCCATATCGGACCAAAAAAATAAATAAGGTTTTAGTTAAGTAAGGGTCTTTTAATTCTTCTGACCACCTTTTAATGAAACCAAAGACTCCTATAGCCATATTAACCATTGAGGAAATATGGTAGGTAAATTTAAGTACTAATAGGACGCTGAGATCATTAACCTGATTTTATTTCTTTTAGGCAATCCCATGGAGAGTATACGTAGCCTGCAGAGGGCAAGAACGATAAAATGATATAAGCTTGCATTTTGAACCATCAAAATCCATTCAAAGTTTTCAAGATCGGACTGAAGGCTGCATTGGGCAGATATGGATTTTTACTGAAGAGAAAGCTTAATATCATCTGAATACAAAAAAAACTAGACAGTTCGTTGAAGCAGGGGCATAACCTGAATAATCTGCGTTGAATAACATCTGCTTGACACATCTTTCGAAAGCCATCTATGACAAAGGATGCCAACTCCAGTAAATTTGTGGTGGTGGAGTGACGCTTTATAAAGCCATGCTGACATGGAGAGATAATCGAAGAGAAAAGGTGTTGCAAATGAGAGGTACTTAATTTTCCAATAACTTTGGAATTGCCGACAATTAAGAGGTGCCTCTGGCAGCATCGGACTTTTTTCCTTTTTTATGTAAGGGAATTTTTAAAGATTCCTTCCACTAACGGGGAAAAATCGAGGTTTCCAAAGCCCTGGCACAGCATTTTAGCACGCAGCCTGGGACCTGGCGATTAAATGGGTTTGACCCTTAGTAGATCAGACAATAAGCTATTCTCGGAGAAAAACGGACAGAAAATAGGATTTGCTGATTGAATGTTATATGCGTAAAACTGATCTGTCATTTAAGGCGGAGAATAAGTTGTTTGAAAAAATTTTGAAAATAGATTGGCAATGGCCTGATCAGAGGTCGCAGATGAGTTTTTAAGCGTATGCAGGGGTGGAAAGGATAAATGTTTACGCTTAGTGTTTACAAAGTTATAAAACTGCTTTGGATCCTGAGTAAATTGTATCCGGCAGCGTCGAATATAATTCCTGTAATATTTAGCGTTATGCACGGTAAAATTTGAGCTAGTAGACATCTTGAAAAATCTATACTAATGCAGGTAAGTAAGAGCCTATTTTTTGTATTTTTTAAGTTCATAAGGCACCTTGTAAACCAAGGAGGATTTGTTGAAGCGGACGGATAAAATTTTTCTAAAGTGACATTTAGATCGGTGCATGCCGGAATATCGGATCAATCAGATGTATCGATAAGGCTAATAAGTTTGTGAAAATCAGCTTTACGGCTGTTTCCGTAAAGCTAATTCCTAATTGCCACGCAAGGAAACTCCTGATCAATACCAAAAATGGTTTCAATTGAAACCTCAAGCGTAGGGTGATATGGATCTTCTGGGATTGAAAGAAGGGAATCTCTGGAGAGAGTGGTACCATCGGGATCAGATGCAAAACATTAGTTTAAAAGCCGAACTGACGAATTTCTAAAAAGGTTAAATTTACCTAGGGACATGTCAAACATACCCGCGGTGAAGTCATGGTGCGTAATAAGTGACAAAGAGTGTGAGTTATTGACATTGGATCACTTTAATTCTGGGATATTAAAGTCTACCACAGCTACAAGCTGGTCACGATCAGTCATAAGATTAAAAACGGACTGAATAGCGGACAAATGATGCCAATATGTGGAAGGTTCGGGCGAAGGCGGTATATATGAACATGTCATGTACCAAGATTTAGCGGACAAAATGATTTTAAATAAATAAATAAATTCTATGTGACCAAACTCTTGTGATTTCACCTCTTCAAAAGGGAGTCACCCGAAATGAGGACTCCACCCCCCCCTTCGCTGAGGTCGATCCCTTCTAAAAGTCGTGTACTTACTTGGAAAAACTTCGGAGATAAAGATTTCCGGTTTTAGCCAAGTTTCTGTAAAGGCTATATGGGTTGCAAAGATAGAACTATCAGAATATAGCTTAGGGAGTTTGCTACGTAGCCCCCTAGTATTCTGATAGGTAAGAATTAGTGACGATATTATTTTTTGGGTTAGTGGACGAAAAAGAGGTGGAAGGTTAGTCCTTGGCTCTGGGAAAGGCTATATATCACTCCCACTGGTTTTAAAACTTTTTTCTTTACGGAACTAGGCTGATG